TCTTCTTAAGATTAGTCATTCTGAGATGTTTTTTCATCTTAGAGACTCACACTTTCATCTTCTTTTATAGATAAGTAAGAGAAATCTCTTCAGTCTTGATAGAATCTGTCAATACTTGAAGCTCTGAGACTCTTACTCTGTACTACTTGAGTATCTGAGCTTCTTATCAGAGCTGATATGACATCTTTCTATGAGATAATACTTACAGAGAGATAGAAGTTATTGTTACAGATACAATGAAAATAATAGAAGTAAGAGAAGAAGTAAGTATATAAAATCCTTCTCTTCTTCAGCTGCTTAGCATAGTATAGATAAGTAATAATACTGATCAGAGACTGTACTGAAGTCTTCTCACAGAGAGAAGACAAAGAAACTGCAGAACTCTACAGACTCAACTCAGTAGTATTCTGAGCAGAGCTCAGACATATCATGAAAGAGAAACTATGAATTAAACTTCTCAGAGTCACTGTTCTTAGAATCAAGCTCTCTTCAGAGTTCTCTCTAAATAATCACACAGAGTTATATATCACTGTGTTAATTGAGAGAGAAGGCAGTGTTGCAACAGTGATGAGAAGAGTAGAGAATAGATCAGACACAGACAAATCAGTCAGCAGAAGAGATGACATCTCACTGCAAGGCATGACTACTATCACCACAGCTGTAAGAGATGCAGAAGAAGAAGAAGATGTAGTAATAAGAGTAGTACTCTCACAGCTCATTGACATTACTGTCTTCATCTTCAATCTGACTTTCTTAACAGCTATGAAGGCTGCAGCTGCATCATGAAGATGTTTATTACTTACTAGAAAATATCAGAATAAGTCTCTTATTATCTCTCAAGAATGATACTCTCATGCACTCACTATTACAGATGAGAGAGAAAGAGAGAAAAATATTTCACAGAGAGAAAAAATCTTTTCAAAAAATCCTGTTACTACTGTTAGCTTTATCTCTAAAATATATCACTTTTACAGAGAATTTCATATATAGAATGAAATATAATAAGAGATCTATAAGTCACTGTTAACTACATTTTTCATATTTCAAATCAAGATATAAGAAACTCACTTATCACATATTTAATTTGAATGAAGATGAAAAAAGAAAGATCTATACAGTCAGCAGAAAAACTCATTTATTTCTTTATATCATGCACAGTATATACACTATCAAATTGATTGATAACTATTGCTATATAACAAAGATAATTTCTAATTCAGTAATCTTGAGAACATCACAACTATGCTTTTAAAGAGAAGAGTATTATCATATCTCTGACTATATCAAGACCTCACTGCAGTTTCACACAGCTTATTACTTTCATACAGATGATTTCATTCATCTCATAGATTATTCAAACTGATTTTCAATCACTCTATAACATTATTTAAATATATTATAGAAAGATTTAATTAATGAATATAAGAATCTCACTTCTATATAAGATCAGCAGATTACTCTTTCTTAACAGTGAGACACTGCTAAGATATCACTTTAGCTATTCTCACTTATAAAATGAGAGAAGAGTATTCACTCATTATCTATATAGAATAGCTAGATGCTGACTTCTTATCAAAGAAGTCAGTGATTCATTTTTCTTCTACTGAAATATATATAAGAGTTACTGCATTTCTTATATAATCTTCTTAGTATACTAAGTATCATATTTGTGATATTCTTATAATAACTCTGTAGTCTATAAGCTCACTATTCAAGCAAGATAGTTAAGCTCACTTATACAGCTTCTCAAACAACTATCTCTACATAATGCTACTGACTAGTCACTGCTTCAGTTTCATCACATTATATTAATACATCTTGACTGATATCTTCTGAATAGACATATTAATTCTTTATAAGAATGTTGAATTCACTGATAACTTCAGTATTCATAAGAATTTCTATACATCAGATCTGATAATTGATACTGTCAAATATAATTACAGTCTTAGTATTTATGACTTTTTAAACATTCTTTTGATATTTGTAAATCTGAGATTTGAAATTATCTGCAGCAGGGGTAATCTTCTGACACATACTTATTCTATCACAGAATATTATAAGATTATCAAATGATATAAATATTATGTTATCTTAACTTATTCTAGACATAGAACTGCTGACAGAATACACTTCTATAAGTATTATATACATAGTACTTGAGCTTGAGATTTCATCTTCAGATTCATGATGAGTATCTGTATCTTAACTAGTAAATAACTTTATAACTTTCTCTGTGACTTTTATATACTGAGTAATATTATCTTTATCTGATTCTTTATTAATAGAGACCTGTTAAGCTGTCTGAGTATAAGAATAAGAGTATAGAGTCTTCTTTCTATCACTCTGAGAAGTAGATAAGTCACTCATCAGTTATTATGATCTGAGTATAGATGTAAGAAAAGAGATTCAGATGAGATTAATCTCATTCAGTTATTAACTTGAAAAAAGAATATAATCTCTTAATCTCTAGATATGTCTACTTATTAAAGCATGCTTATTCTAAGTAATAAGAATATCTTCTATTCAAATCAATATAGAAAAGTGAATCAATTCACAGATAATTAACTACAGTGTAATCCTTCTATAAAAACATGTATAAGAGGTCTTATTAAAAGAAAAATTGTGAATGTCCGGGCTATAACCTGTAAGTGGGAAAGGTTGATTCTTCTATTATTATGAGAGCAGCTAGCTATGTTATATAACATAAGAGATCACGTGCAGGCGGAGCGATCGCTAGGGCAACGCCACCAAGGCGGCCGCCGCTACATCCATTGCTCCTTGATTGTCACGTGAACCAGCAATGACAGAGCGGCCCATTCTGCTGCTGTTGTGGGCTATTAGCTACAGTACTGCGCCACAAGTTTGAAATCATTGCGGCACGCTAAGAAAATATTCTATAGAGTAGTTTGTTTAGCCTAGTCGCTCTTGGAAAAGGGCTCAATTTCTCCTCCTGGTAAAAATGACAGAACCAGGACGAACTAATAGAAATACTAAAGAGTGCATTGTTGATGTATAGATTCAATGAATTTAAATACAATCACATGACACTACAACATAATGACTAATGATATCCAGCATATAAATCGTGGCTAGAGAGCACTTGAATGCATAATCGCTACCTTCCATCAACAAAACTATAGAAGCTTCTTATGAGAAAATGCCAGCACAATAATGAAATGCCACCGAGAAGTTACCTGATTTACAGCCCTCTTTATCTACTCTACAGTGGTTGTTTTGGTCGGCCGAGCCGCTCTAAGCCTTTCAATGGGCTCTTTTTAATCGGTGGACTGGGGCGCCGTGGGTAAGTTAGCATCACCATTATCCTCCTTGTCGTCGTCTTCATTGTCGGACATATCGGATACTTTGTTTTTTTTCAACTTCGTGTTAACAACGTCCCTGTTCGTGATAACAAAGAATACTGGTAAAAAGATATCCCACATACTAATGAAACGTCCCCATGGAAACACGCTGCTGTGCTTCCGAGCACCGATAAAATTCACATGCTGAAAACGGCTGGTAAAAAAGTTAGAATTTGATATTCTTTCAAAAGCAGCTAAATATGGAATGGTTCATACAGGGAGGATCCATCATGATTTCTCACCACGCGGTAGCAAAAGATAGGTACTTCGTCCAAAGTCAATCTTTGCGGAACTGATAAATCTATAACCATCCAACATTTGGTATTCGGTAAGATAATATTCCCTGGTACATGGACATAATCGATGTTCTCATCATATATTCGTCCAACCTCTTCAGAAAAGAACGCGTTGACTAGACTTGTGTCTCTCCCCATGGAGTCTCCAGGAATATGTAAATCTCAATAGAATCCGTGCGTCGCGATATCTGAGGATGTCGCTCGGTGGCTCCATGTTTGGGGGGGTAGAAAGCATCACTGTCTGTGAAAGTGAATTCCTAGTGACTGCAGCAGATATTGCTAGGTATACTCATTTTTTAATGGATGTTCGTCGGTGGTACCGGGTTTTTCAGGAGGGCTTAATTGGAGAGGCCTCTGGGAAAGACCAGGCAGCGAAGTAGATTAACATACAGACCAAGACATTATGGGTTGCTCCTATCTTTTTATGCTTACAGATGAACAGCCAAAAAGGTGAAACAATCTCAAGACTAGAAAAAACAAACAGAAACCACAGGCTGCTAAGCGGCATAGCCATTTTTGGCAGCCCACCCCTTGATTCTTCCCGGGTCATCAACGAGGCGGGTGGCCAGCCTGCGGGGCGAGTGGTGATCATCAAAACAAGCAAGAGACAAACATGTAGCTTGGTACTCGCTGCATGGGACTATCTTCCTTCGGGATATGGTAGCAATGCAGCTATTGGGACCTGTACAAGCAAGGAACCGGGTGGAGATTAATCCTATTCGATCGCGAGGGAATGGTAATAAGCGCGAGCAAAATACGGGATTGAAATTGTATTTTGAGGAAGGTCGGCTATTCCCATTTAGGATTAATGTACGCCAACCAACCCGCCGTGTTGCAGATGAACAGAGGTGACTCATCAAGATGATGACCAAAGCGGAGAAACTGCGGCCTGAGATCAGTTGACTTTGGGCACCAAAATCAATCCTACTACCCCTCCTCGTCAGAACATATATCTTTGCGATGATAAGGTTAAAGGCATAAGGCTTTTCATATCTTCTTTTAGAGAAAAAAAGCCACAGACAGATGCTTGAAATATGCTCCTGACAATTTTTATCAATTGAGACTAGGAAGTCGGTTCCCGCGCCCTTCCAGGTCAAACTAATGTCCTCAATTGATGATGTCATGGGAGTTACATTGGCTTGAATGCCAAGCTGTGGCCTTGTAAGAGGAAAGAAAATATTTAAGTGAAGGTTGGAGGAATTCGTGGTTGGCTTGGTGGCAGATGAGTCATCATCGCAAGACCGCAACATCTGGTCATGCGAAGGGATGAGGGACGGCTCTCCACGTGGACTATGTGCGCCGATATGTGAGGGGCAGTAGCTGTTGCGTGGGAGCGTCAAATATGGACTGGACGCTGCTGGTAACCGAAGATATGTTGGGCTTGATGGACTCGCTGCACTACGCTAGGAGGTACGCTAGCGCATCCTACTACACATGTCGTAACCCAGCCTAATCGCCTTTGGCGGTTGCGTCGGGCTGGGCAAACTGAACCTCCACGAAGTTCTATGACATATTAATCATCTACCAATGAATGAAGAACAAATGGACATACTAGGACATTCATTGAGGGCATCTCTCGCAGGATTATTCTAATACTCGCAGACGCTTGCTGCTTTGGAATTGATCGGTGATGATTTGAGAAGTTCAAGGGTCGCATAGATTTCGGACTTGGCACTGAGAACTTGCACGGCGGCGCGACGTCGCCCATCACGTGACGAGGGGCTATTTGGATTTGGCACTAATGCCCCTCCAATAAATAATTCACGACCTCGTCGAGAAAGTTCACAATAACATATCAAGGATCGCACTTCATCATTTAATCCCCAAAATTTAAACTTGATTCTGAAATCAAATAAAAAATGTGCGCTTGTCTTCCTAGCCTTCTTATTTAATACTGATTGTTTCTGAATTTAGAAATGCTGACTGCATTCACCTGAGTGCGACACAAGTTAGCGCCATGCCACACACCAGTTCTATCACATATCTACCACTTCCGAGCTGGCTAGAAGCCTCTGTTGAAGAAGCAAGAAGTGCAACTTCTAACACAGTGATCTCTGATTCACAAAGATGGGCTTTTGAATTTGAACTACCTGTTAATGAGAGTGTTAAATGTGTGGTGGATGAGGTGAAGAAAGTCTATCTGGTGTGCAGCAACACTCCTCAGAAATATAGATAGTATTCTAATTATACATAGGAAAAGTTGTTATCCAAGGTTTCCTTCTTATCTTCGCATGGGGCTGTTTTTAAAGGAAGTTGGAGATCAGGAGGACTAGTTGACACTATAATTGTTCCACTTATGGGTTATGACGCAGAAGTGACTGCAAGAAATGAAGGCGGGAAAGAGATAAAAGTAGATTGGAATTGAAAGAATGCCATACTTGTGTCAAAGCATACAGTTTTCAGAATTGAAGGAGAAGCGAAGATTGGTGCTGTGGTTATCACACTAAGGCGGTGATTATGGATAAGGATGTACAGTACATAGGTTATTTAAGCATTACAAGCTTCTGAGCGAAATGATGAAGTATGATGGCTTTGCAGAGATTCATTGTTGTGCCCATGTGAGTGAACACTGCCATAACCTCGGATATTGACCATGTTCAACTGCGGCTGAGAGGCAGTTGTTGTCAGCAACTGAGTGTTGAACATATGAGTTTCAGTGTCAAGGTCGCCGGACTGTGTTACCCAGGAGTCGGTGCATGGCATGTAGGTTTCAGCGGACGAAGTGCCAATGTCGTCAGGCTGTGTTGCCCAGTAGTCGGTGTATGGCATGTAGGTTTCAGCGGACGAAGTGCCAATGTCGTCAGGCTGTGTTGCCCAGTAGTCGGTGTATGGCATGTAGGTTTCAGCGGACGAAGTGCCAATGTCGTCAGGCTGTGTTGCCCAGTAGTCGGTGTATGGCATGTAGGTTTCAGCGGACGAAGTGCCAATGTCGTCAGGCTGTGTTACCCAGTAGTCGGTGTATGGCAGGTATGTTTCAGCGGTCGAAGTCGTAGGCACCAACTGTAATGACGCTGAGAAAGGTCGACCGACCGCATTTTGAGCTGTATCTTCAACTAAATTTCGCCGGTGATCCGTTGGCAATTCGACCGTGGTCGCGCTCTCAGGCGGAGCATTGTATCCAAGAGCATGAGGAAGGGGATGGTTGTCCATGTTTCCGCTGCCGCCAGAAACCACCACTGGTGATATATTAGGCTGGGCGGAAGGTTCGGTAGTCCGTGGAACAAACTCATTGTCAATGGTTTGATCGAGGGCACCTATATATATATAATGTCAGCACAGAGGGTATTGCGAATAGTATCGGCAAGACTAACTCTCTACTACACCTCTATTCGACAAATCGTCAACGCCTAGTTGGTACACTGGGTTATTTTTGTCCACTTCTACAGGTCCCCATGTGGGTAGTTCAGATATGGGTGGTGCAGCCAAGCGTGGGCGCTTGGTTCTCGGAAAGGACGATTCTAATTCAAGGTGAGGTCGTTTATTTTTCCTGTATCCTACGTAAAACGTAAGCAAAAGGCATTCCATGGCGAATAGTCAATCTCACCATTGTATATTGACTGGCCATCCTCAACCCAGGACGAAGCTTGTTTGAGGGTACGGAGTATGCCCATTTTCTGTCGGAGTAGGGAGGCAAATGTGTGAAGTTCGTTATAAGACAGAGTATCAAAATATTGGTACGTAAACGGGATTGCCACCTCTATTCCGGGGAACCCACATTTGTCCTCAGTCATCAGTTGTTTAATTCCACGCTTAAGCGCTTTGTAAGCTGTTTGACTGTCATCGAACTGGCGAACATGTTGTACGTAGTATGTAAAGTTCCCGCCTCTTTTGTTCCTTGCCGACGATGCGTTCTTGGACACACCATCTAGCCTTGTCCCTCCTGCCTGTTGTCTCTCGAGTTCCCATTGATTATACTCAAGCGCTAGCGATCGTTGGGCAAGGCACTGAATGTATCTGTCATTGTGACTTGGCTTGTTCTTTCCAACAATGCTCTTTATATCGCAAAGGCGATCGTCCTCAACAGCCAGCGAGGCAAGGAAACTTGCGATTATGTCGGACGAACCATGATTGAAAAACTTGACAATCTTCTCGAGGTTTTCTTGTATCTTATCCAGGAGCTGTCGAGGTCGAATCCCCTTCTTCAATAGTGTCTAAATCGCCAGAGGTTTGCTGGAGTGATCCATCACTGACAGAGGGGGAGGAGGTCGAATCCCCTTCTTCAATAGTGTCTAAATCGCCAGAGGTTTGCTGGAGTGATCCATCACTGACAGAGGCGGGAGAAGAGATCGAATCCACTTCTTCAATTGTGTCTAAATCGGCGGAGGTCTGCTGGGCTGAGCCATCACTGATAGAAGAGGTAGAACTGCTTTCTTCATAAGCAGCGTATTGCAATGAACACTCATCGGGAGCTGCGGTTTGCCGATACGATGCAGCGGAGGAGTTTTGAATAACTGTTACTCCAACTCGTTCTGCAATTGTCTCGAGTGCAGGAATTACTTCCGTACGATGAGCTTTTAGCATCTCTGGCGATACTCGTAGTAACGCTGTCAATAGTGATAGGATTTCCGATTCAACCGTCATATTTGCACTGTTAAACTCGTGGCAAAAGAAAAGGAAAAAGAGTTCTTGACAAGATTTGAAATTTAGCTACTTTCTGTTGAGAGGCTGGATGCGTGTGGAAGGATCCATGCCAACGAGCTATCATTTAATTGGTGTTTGTTGGCCAGCTGGCCAACAGACTACTTTCTATTGGTTCCAAAATCTCTATTCAGATTCTCAACGGGTGAATCTCCAATGACAATTCAAACTCTCCCCCTCCACCACACTTCGGATGGGAAGAGCAGGGAATTTTCTCATGGATCTATCCTAAACTAACACAGCGTCCAATCTCATTCTCGCATATGATTCGGATGGTATGGGGGGCTGTTGTGATGGACCCAGCCGAATATGGTTCGACCTAAGCTGCTTTCTCTTTCGATAATTCTCAACGAAAGACAACCCCCGTTCTGGAAGAACGACTACTGATGTTGCGTTATAGTTGCTTTGACCTCTACAACCCCGCATGCTGTGAGATGAATTTTCCCCAAAACTACCAGCTGCGCCGTGATGGCCTAGACTCCGGACAAGAGTGATATTGAGCCCGAAAATGAGCATTTTGGACCTCCTTTTCCCAATAAAGACGGCATTAACAGATATCACAGCGTGGTCGATGCTGCTGTTGTACTCGTCACTTAGGCTATTGTAGTACATGCCATGCGGGATGGTGGCTGTAATAGGAGTATGCAAAGTGCAGCCAGGGGTGCTAGACTGTGTCGAGGGCACAGTAAACTTGCGTCGATCACTCTGGGAGAGCGAGTGCGATATACATGTCCAGCTTGAGTCCGTACCATCCTCATGCAAAGGGATCACAACATATCAACAACAATAGTGTAACTACTCGTACAAGCCCTAGACAACTGCCATCCAACATTTGCTGAAATGAGGATGACATACCCCTTCAACTATCAAAAAGCCCCCATTCGAGGTGCACAGAGAGTAGCTGTCTGATAGTTATAAATCATAAGATGTCACTCCGCGACAGATCATTTCAAAATGAATCAACTTGACTGTCTTTTCTTACAAAATGTATTCTAACATCTCATATGCACTTCTGTCAGCAGCACTCATCATACTAAGTACAGTGCATCTCATCTTGCTTACTATTCATTACTCTCAGTCTCATTATTTGTCTGAGATATCAATCTTCATTCTCTTTATCTGTGTCAATGCTGTTGTCATTGATGTTGGTCTATCAGGCTTACAGCTTGAAGATGAGAAGACTCTTCAACTGAGATAATGATGATAAATACTGAATTCTTGTTTCAGATACACCAGCATTTTACTATCTCTTGAGAATATGTACAGCATTTCCACTAGCCCTTGAGACATGTTATTCCCTGTCCCCTGCTTTGGTCATTGCTAACCGTGATGTCTAGATGATTCAGCAGAGAAAAATCCAGGCTGAATCTCTTACAAACACTTCACTGCATCAATTATTTCTAGGATATGGTTTTCTGTCCTCAGCAGTAAAGCTCGGTTTGATCTTATGATGTGCTCTTCCTCTCAATCTTAATACACCTTGTGCTGATTGAGTTAGCTCAGTCGCCTATGAGGTGTTGATGAAAGGTACAGCTATGATCATGTCTATCAACTACACAGTACTTGTGATTACTGATCTGCTTTTTTGGCGCGGAACTAGTGATATATCATCTCAGAGCTCTGTAATTCATAAAGTTACAATTCATGTATTTCTTATTATTATAACAGCAGAGTTTGCTGCAGACAGACTCATTCATGACTGATCTCTCTGAATTAAAGTAAGTTCAGTGAAATCATGAATCTCACTCTAACATATGCTAACATGAGCTCTAGACTAGACTGGCTGCTGAGACCATGAATTTCACATTTAGTCTCATTTAATCTGATCTCATACATTTCTTGGCGTGAATCCTGCTGAGACTGGCTATCAAAAAAACATGTAAAGTGACTATATATCAGATCTTAAAATGAAATCATGACTTGAAAAAAATGAGAAAGTGATCTCATTTGATTTCATTTAGTCTCATTCTTGGTATAAAGTTACTATTTTTAGACATTTTAAGGTTTTTTTTAGACTATTTTTAATTTTTTAAAAAGTAACACTTTTTGATAACACTCAAATGAGATTTAAAGTCATTTAAAGCAATAAAAATAATTTAAATTGAGAAGTAGAAATCATGATCTCATTTGAAAAATGTGACAAGAGTAGACAGTAAGTCTCACTGAGACAGTATAAAACTACTATCTAATGTTTGCCAGCGTGGCCCAGTTGGTAAGACTGGTAACCAAGGCCGCACACATTAGGGGTGCGTGGGTTCGAATCCCACTGCTGGCACCTGCTACTTCTTACCCATGAAAGCCTCCATGTAATAGGGGCTGAGCCTAATTAGTAAGGCTTGGTGCGGGGTAGAACTCTCTACTGCAAGCCAAGCCACTAGTTAAGTGAGATCCTGCGAACACCCACCAGGGCCGGCATGGGGTGCCAATGTCCTACTATTCTACTGTGCACCTGTCAAGGTTCTAATGATATAGAGTCAAGTCTAATGTAGTGATTATACACTACTTAAGCAAGTCCCTAAAACTAGGACTGTCATCGGAGCCTAGCTCCCCCTCAAATACAGGGAATGATTTTGAAAACCACCTGACTAGCAGGTCTAGACGCGCATCTAGGCCCTAGACAGGACACCCTGATAGGCTAGAGCCTGCAAGCTCACTGTCAACCCCTAATACTGGCAGAGAGAACTGCAGTCATCAAGCCTATGATTAGTCCCTAACACAGGGTGAGGCCATGACAGCTGATTGGTAGGCCTATGGGCATCTAATGAGGCCGAGATCAGCAACCGGAAGCTTGATGTGTACACCACCAAGTGGGTGGTGGCAGCCACTAACTAACACCCCTGGAAATTAGTGGCTGGCCTGAGAGGACGGACATGGTGATCAGTTAATTATGGGGGTTAAATGTAATTAGCTTAAGATGCATTCTGCGGGTGGCTAGTGCCTGTAGCAATTTTCTTCTTTAACTGTTGAAAAAGTTGATCATGAGAAGTTATCTCTCTGAAGAGAAAAGCTTGAATCTCTTATAGACTTACAAATAAGTGAACTATTAAAAGAGAAAGAATATAAACAGTATTTGAAGAGAATTTCTACAATCAATATAAAGAACTCTATTCTGATTTATTCAGATGACTTAAAAAATAAGAACTTGAATAGATTAAATACAGACATTGCTTATACTGAAGATAATATTAATTTTATCTCAGATTTCTGAAATCTAGACTCTGAATATAAAGTCTTTGATGCTGAACTATTTATAATAGTGAAAGCTTTCAAACTCATTGAAATAAAATCTCATAAAAGAGGAAATTGTTTGAAAGAGATATGAATATTCTCTGATAGTCAAGCTGCTTTAAAAAGACTTAGAAATAGTCAGATTTATAATAATTAAATGAATCTTAAACTGATCTTAAACTCTATTTTGAAAATTCAAAAGAGAAGAATATCAAAGCTGATAATTCATCTGCACTGAGTTTCTGCTTATTTGAATATTCATGATAATGAATTGACTGATTCAGCTGTAAAAAAGAGTGTAGAATTAAGCAGATCTATTCAAAAAATTATATTCTAATCTTTTATAAAGAGAAAAATAAAAGAATCTTATTTAGATAAGTGAAATGAAAGCTGGCAGAAACAAAAGAAGAGTATACATTATTCAAGATTTGAAATAAAACTCAAGTGAAAATCTTGTTTAATTAAATGTAAAAAGAAAATATTCTCATCTATAATACAGCTGAAACTAGAACATGGCTATTTCAAATCTTATATACAAAGATTTGATGATAGATTTGACTCAATAGAATGCTTATTCTGCAATATAAATGAGAATTCTGAGTATATTGTAATGCACTGTGTATTATACAATAGTCTCAGAGCTAGATTGAAAGAGAAGTATGATTTAAATCAATTAAATATAAGATTCTTATTCTCAACTGAGACAGGAATTAAATACTTAATAGACTTTCTATCAGAAACTCAAGCAGCTACAAGAAAATGACTAAATTCAGAATTATCTGAATATGGAGAGAAGGAAATCAATCAGATATAGTCTGTTAAAACAGCTATATACTATCTTTTAATAATTTGTTTTGTTACAGTCTTTCTTTATTTTATCTTTTCATTTCAATTTCTTTCTGTCTATCTATTTAATATGTCTATCTTTAAGACTGTGTTCTCTTTTCCTTTGTCATGATATTGTCAAATGATTTCAAAGTATGAGATGATGTTAAAACACTGCAATTTGTAAACAGTTTTTGTATTCTGAGCTGGAATTTTCTGATTTTACATATCTGAAATTGATGAATGTATAATAGTTAACTTTACAGATATAGGAAAAACCCTGAGAACTAAAAGTTCTCAGGTAGATGTCATAGTCTCTGACTGCATACATCTATAATTGAAGAATAATAATAATAATAACTATCTAATGTTAAAACTGTGTAATGAAATCAGTCAAATTGATAATGAGACTATCAAAAAATCTGGTCCTGGTCTCAGACACGGTCACACGGTCAGTCTACTCTAGACAATGTTAATCATCACTATTAATATCTATATAACTTGAAATATTTTCACTTAGTCTGATAAATCAGAGAACATAGTACTGTTACTGAACTTCTCAGATGACATATTTAATCTAGATCAGCTTAACTCTTATTAAGAAAATCATTCTACTCATCTCTCTTTCATTTCAAGTCATGATAGAGCCATGATAATAAAGAACATAGTGAGTTTTATAGAATAGTTAAAAGTTGTATTAATAGATCTATCTACAAGAACATAATATAGTGATGAGTCATATGATCTAGTGAGATTACTAACTGCAATAACTGTAACAGTTAACACTCTCTCTCAAAATAACAAGAATCACATATAAAAACACTCAAATCATCAAGATAGTCTGTTAAAATCAAATACAAATGTAAAATTACACATTTTCAACTTTTACA